TTTGAGAGTTAATTGTCTCAATAATCACTATCGGATTGCTCGCTATACTTTTAAATTTTTTTTTTTTATCATAGAATTAAAAGAAAAATGAAAATTGAATGTGAAATTTAGAAAAGCAACTTTGAAATGCTTTCATCAGTTTGTGTGCATCTCATTGAGATTACTGCTTACATGTTGTTTTATTCTCTATGAAACTTGCAATCGGCAGTCATTGCACGTGGATCAAGTTTGTGCGTAATACTATACTTTTTCACCAAAACTCTTAAACGACACTCTAGATGATTTTGGGTTCCGGATGTAGAGCTACAAAATACTCTGATAAGGTTATAATTTTTTTTTGCAAATATCTCTTCTCTAATCTTGTTCAATCAGTGGCGAATTCAGGATTAATTGTCAGCTAGGACGGTCATTAACCGTTGATGACGGTCAACGATTGTAATAACGAGATCGTTTATTAATATTTAATTAAATGACATTAAAAATTCTTTAATCTATACGTAAATTAAAGGTTTAATAGCATAAAACCCCCTATCTATTAGACATTGTGCGAAAAATCCCCCTATCAATTGAAAATAGTAGAAAAGATCATTGTTCGAAACCTTTAGTGCCGAATACAATCTTTTAGGTACATAAAACTCTTCTATCGTCCAATTCTGTTAGTTTTACCATTGAAAACATAAAAATTGTCAGCATTAAAAATGAATAATTGAAATCGTTGTCCCAAACGTTTTATTTGTTTGCAAATTATACCCAAACCTTTTATATCAATCACCCAAAATTTCCCACCTTTAAAACTTTATTTTCTTCCCCCACCCCCAAAGCATTCATCTCCAATCTCTAGTTTTCTCTATTCAAAATATACATCAATCTACTATAATCGTACGCACAAAACAAAACAATTTGCCAAGGCAAAAAGGGTCAAAACAACAAAAACAGATAGAAAAAAGGGACCTTTAATTTTACATTATATTTTGCTATAAAATTTGTATAGAATTGTCCAAAAACAAATCAAATTAATTCCACAAAATGATCAATATCCAATATCCCACTTCTCTAAAAGTTAACAGAATTAAAAGAGATTGTCAATAATTACTCTTCCATAATGCCTTTGAGGGCAATGCTCTTGCCAGCATCCATTCCACTGCCATGAGGAGCATTGGACTTTTTTCACCATGAGTAACTGCATCTCAATTATCCTGGTCTATTTGCTATTGAATTTTGTTTCATTTGCAATTCTTAATGGGCAGATTGTTTTTTCTTAAAAGAAAAACCCAACTAAAGAAAATGTCCAAAATCTAAAAAAGCAAAAAAACGGCCCAAGTTCACCTACCTTCTTCCCCGTTTCAATCTTTCTTGTAACTTCACTAATTTGAGTAAGGGTCGTCGCCTATAACTTTCGGCGAATTCAGCACGAGCGACCGCGCTCCCTCGCCGGGTGTTGGATCAACCACTGTGTTCAACCCATGTAAAATATCACAGAGATATTTTTACACTCATATAAAGGTCAAAAAATAAAGTAAAAACTATCTAACAAAACAGGAATTCACTTCTTTTGTAAAATTCTCGATTTTAAGCTTAGACAAGTGCTGAAGAACTTAGCCTATGTAGGAAAATGAGTTTTGGAATGGTAAATTTTTGAAAAAAGTATAGTTAGAAAGTAGAAAAAATTAGTTTATATGCAAAATAGTTTATTGTATGAATGTCTAATTGAAAATGAGTTCGAGTAAAAAAAAGACTTTTAAAATAATGGTAGAATATTAGGGCTTGATTAGAAGGCTAAAATGTGCATATCATGTGGAATTTAAAATGAATTTACAAGTCTTCAGGGGGCTGAAAACAATTAATGAATTCAAACGACATCGTCCTACGAAAGAAATACGATATTACTTCAACCAATTTTGAGCGGGTTAAATCCACAAATGACAATTCAATTTGATTTTATTTCACCATAACCACGAAATTCCATACAACATTTTATTATGGCTACCCAATTTCATATATTGTTTCACTATAATCACCTAACCTATTTTCACCGTTTTTAAAACGAGTAAAACAATAACTTTGCATTGATTATGTATATATATAACAAAAAAAAAACAAATTATTTTTTATTTTAAAAACGTTTTTTAAAATAAATTTTTAGTTTATTTTATTTATCCAAGTAACTTTTTTTAAAAAAATAAGTTTTTTTTTTATTTTTAAAAACTTTTTTTTAAATAAGTTTTTATTTTATTTTAAAAATATTTATTTTATTTTATTTTGTTTTTTTAATTTGTTATGTATAATGCAAAATTTTCGTTTTGCCATTTTAAAATTAGTGAGGGGGGTGAAAAAATGTTGAGTGATATGGTGACGTTTTATGAAAATGGATGACCATGATGAAATAAAATCAAATTAAGTGACAAACAAAATTAAAATGGATGGTCGTGACGCTAATTATGAGTTTGGTTTGGATTAAAATTCAAATAAAATTTTGTGTCTAAATCAATAATTAATTTTAATCACACATTTTATTATTCTACAACTTTTTAACCACTCATTTAACGGGTTTTACAATTTTTCGACTACTCATTTTATCATTTTTTATTAATATTTAATAAAAAATCTTATTTTTAATGGGTTGGTGGATATTAATTGATTGGACCTTGCTACTTGTACAAAAGAATTTGTACAAAAATGTTGACAAATACTCACATGTGGGGGGGCCCACTTTTTATTTTCAATTTTTTATTCATGTGGGGCCGGATAAGACACCGTTTGGTAACCATTATTCTAGAAAAAAATGCATTCTTTGTGTCAAATCACACCTTTTTTGTGGTTGAAAATGAAGGAAAAGTTATTGATGTGATGGAAAATATTATTTTATTGATGAATGTGTGGTTAAAAATTAGTAGAAGAATGAGAATGAAAAAAAAAATGGTTACCAAACGGTGCCTCAATATGTAAATTAAAGGTTTAATAGCATAAAACCCTTTATCTATTAGACATTGTGCGAAAATCCCCATATCAATTGAAAATAGTAGAAAAGATCATTGTTTGAAACCTTTAGTGCCGAATACAATCTTTTAGATACAAAGAACTCCCCTATCGTCCAATTCTGTTAGTTTTACCATTAAAAACAGTAAAAATTGTCAGCATTGAAAATGAATAATTGAAATCGTTGTCCCAAACATTTTACTTGTTTACAAATTATACCCACATTTTTTTATCAATCACCCAAAATTTCCGACCTCTTCCCCCCACCCCCAAAGCGTTCATCTCCAATCTCTAGTTTTCTTTTCTCTATTCAAAATATACATCAATCTACTATAATCATACGCACAAGACAAAACAATTTGCCAAGGCAAGAAGGGTCAAATCAACGAAAACAGTTAGAAAAAGGGGGACCGTTAATTTTACATTGTATTTTGCTATAAAATTTGTATAGATCAATGGTCCAAAAAACAAATCAAATTAATTCCACAAAATGATCAATATCCAAAAAACCCAACTAAAGAAAATGTCAAAAATCAAAAAAAGCAAAAAAAAAGACCCAAGTTCACCTATCTTCTTCCCGTTTCAATCTTTCTTGTAACTTCAATGATCTGAGTAAGGGTCATTGCTTGTAACTTTTGACGGATTTAGCACGAGCGGCAGCGCTCCCTTGCCAGGTATTGGATCAACCACCGTGTTCAACCCATGTAAAATATTACTGAGCTATTTTTACACTCATATAAAGGTCAAAAAAATAAAGTAAAAACTATCTATATCAAAACTAACAAAACAAGAATTCACTAAAGAGGGTCTTTTGTAAAATTCTCGATTTTAAGCTTAGACAAGTGTCGAAGAACTTAGCCTATGTAGGAAAATGAGTTTTGGAATGGTAAATTTTTGAAAAATGTATAGTTAAAAAGTAGAAAAAAAATTAGTTTATAAGCAAAATAGTTTATGGTAAGAATGTCTAATTAAAAATGAGTTCGAGTAAAAAAAAGACTTTTAAAATAATGGTAGAATATTAGGGCTTGATTAGAAGGTTAAAATGTGCATGTCATGTGGAATTTAAAATGAATTTACAAGTCTTCAGGGAGCTGAAAACAATTAATGAATTCAAACGACATCGTCCTACGAAAGAAATACTACATTACTTCAACCAATTTTGAGAGGGTTAAATCCACAAATGACAATTCAATTTGATTTTATTTTACCATAACCACGAAATTCCATACAACGTTTTATTATGGCTACCCAATTTCATATATTGTTTCACTATAATCACCTAACTTCTTTTCACCGTTTTTAAAACGAGAAAAACAATAACTTTGTATTATGTATATATAAAACAAAAAAAAAAAAAAAATTATTTTTTATTTTAAAAAATGTTTTTTAAAATAAATTTTTAGTTTATTTTATTTATCCAAGTAACTTTTTTCTAAAAAAAAATAAGTTTTTATTTTATTTTTTTTAAAAAAATTTTAAATAAGTTATTATTTTATTTTAAAAATATTTATTTTATTTTATTTTGTATTATTGTTTTTGTTTTTATTTTTTTAATTTGTTATATATAATGCAAAATTTTCGTTTTGCCATTTTAAAATTAGTGAGAGGGGTGAAAAAAAGTTGAATGATATGGTGATGTTTTATGAAAATGAATGATCACAATGAAATAAAATCAAATTAAGTGACAAACAAAATTAAAATGAATGGTCGTGACGCTAATTACGAGTTTGGTTTGGATTAAAATTCAAATAAAATTTCGTGTCTAAATCAATAATTAATTTTAATCACACATTTTATTATACTACAACTTTTTAACCACTTATTTAACGGGTTTTACAATTTTTCGACTACTCATTTTATCATTTTTCATTAATATTTAATAAAAAATCTTATTTTAATGGGTTGGTGGATATTAATTGATTTAACCCAATTCGGAGCTGTTGAAAACCCTAAGCTGAATTTGCAGATCCACGAAACAAGAAACTTCACTTCAATCAGTAGAGATCAATCAGATTGCAATGGCGATGGCTGCTTTGAGGCGCGAAGGAAGGCGTTTCGCTGCCCCTCTCATCTCCCCACAACCTCTCAACCCCGTCCGTTCCTCAATCTCCTCTGCTGAGTACGATACGATGCCTCTCTCACTCTCTCTCACTATACACGCGTGTGTGCACGTGAGAGTACGAGCATTTGTGTTTATTTGATTTATGTTTTGGTTTTATGACTAATTTGTGTTATCTAACTGATTCATTTTTATTCAAAAGCCATGATTTTGCGTTCTTATAGATATGATTCATTCAATTCCGTCCAATATAATGGAAGAATTATAAATCACCAAAGTAATAGATAGAAATACCTCAAATAGTGCCATCAAAGGAGTCGTTCCCAGTTTCATTGCTTACTAAAACGAGGTGAAGAGTTGGGTGAGTTATAAAGTGAAATCATTTTTATTCAAGAAAAAGGGATTGTCTGTTGTACAGAAAGCTCCCTTTCCTTTAGATTAGAAACCCTCTGGCGTTTTGCTTACACAGTTGAAATGTGGTATATTTCAGTGCTTTTTTATTGTCTGATAGCTTGGTACAACATATGCAGCATAATCTATGACATTCCATATGCAAATTTCCCTTCCTTCAGTTTCTGTGTTTTTGCTTGGATTTTTTTACTTAAAGATGTACTGTGGAGCATTTGACCTATCAGGAGTTGTATTGTATAGCTATGTGATTATAGTTACTAAATCTAAGATTGCTATTCTATCCACAAATGCCCGTTAGTATGATGATAGGCGTATTTGATATTGCCCCATGTATTATGCGAGGGATTTGCAAAGATTTGACAACTTATGTGAATGCAATTTGTATCAAAATGAGGTTTATTCTCTCAACGTCTATTGACACTTCATTCGTCTAGCTCTATCTGTTTGCAGTACATATTCTTAATCAAAATCTTATCCGATGAAAGCTTGTCCATTTTCTTTCGAATCATCAAGAGTCGTATTTTGGGAAAATTATCTCAAAATTGTTCTTCTATTTTAACCTTGAGGGATTGTTCAATTGGTCAGACTTTGAGTTTGCTCCCCAGTGGTCACCAGTTCGAGTCCCCTCAGGCCACTGAGGTGAGCATCCGACTATAAACTTCAGGGCCCCGTAAGATTAGTCGAGGTGCGCACGAGCTAGCCCGGATATCCACGGTTATAAAAAAAATAAAATTGTTCTTCTATTTCGCTAATACATGCTCATGGGAAGAGGAGTAAATACAGATGTATTTTATTTTACTCATTTCGTTTTCCTAAAAATTTCTCCATGCAATCATAACAAAAGAAATAATGGTAACTATTGTTATATGTTCAATATTTTAGCTTTGAGAAGATGATTAACTATTGGGGATGCTATTTGTCATAGTTGGTCTTTGATATCTTGTGAAAAATGAGATGGCCTCGGATAAGAATGCGGTAAAATGGGTTACTGTGCAAGAAAGAAAGTGACCTGTATTCCTTTTCGACAATTGCACGCTGAAAGGTTAACAAATTTCTCTTCACATGAATGATATGCTATTTAGCATATTTCGCTTATGAGAAGTACCAGACTCAGTAAGCAACACATATCCAAACCTAAGCTGCCAAGGTCATCCTTATTGTTATTGAACTTCTATCTCTTACAAATGTACTGTTATTTTCAGTTAATTAGTTCCATCACTGTTAATAAAGGCAGAAATAGGTATTGATTCGTTTTTCCTTCATGAGGTGAGGCATATGTATCAAGGCGGACTGAGGTGTAAGCCACCCCACAAACGAAAAAATTAAGTTAAAAAATTTTAAGTAATACAAAGGAAAAACTTTGCCGGAATTGCCAAAGTGGAACTTCTGCTGGATTAAGCGTGGCTGCCTTGTATTCTTGTGAAAGAAGAATCGAGGAAAAAAAAACAGACGATATTCTGAAATAAAAGAAAAAAAATTATTAATAGAAGCATTTACTTGTCGGAAATTTCAGAATCATGGTGCTGCCTTGCAATCTTGTAGGAGGACGACTCTTGTGTTTCTGGAAGCAGTGAGACGTGGGTTAGTATAGTGGGGTTCTGTAGGTTTTTTAAATGTTTAGTCCCACAATAAAAAGAATTGATGGGCCCAAATTTTTTTTTTTTTTTTAAAGAACAAGATTTCCCATTTAAGTAGCCCCTTTTATATATGAAAGCCATGCTTAGCTCCTGTTTAGTACACATTCTTTCAAAATACATTCTTTCAAAACTCATTTTTCAACCACATATTCTATAATAAAATAATATTTTTCATCACATCAATAATTTTTTCTTACTTTTTAACCACATATTTCACATGATATCACTATTTAAAATGCATTCATTCCTCAATAATCTTCGTCAAACATACCCTTAGACTTAAAAAAAAGAGGGAAACAAATAAAAATAAACAATTCAAATGTTGCTATAAAATTGAGGTGCACACCTCACGCTTCTTGTGTCATGCAATCTCGGTCAATGAGGCGCCTGCCTCATTGAAAATCACTGAAAGTATCGCCTCAAGGCACAATAGTGAGGTGTGCCTCACTAGCGCCTTTTTAAGCCATGAGTTCCATAGAGAAAATTGACACGTTATGGATCTGACATATTTGTGGTCATCAAAGTGGCAGGAGCAAATCATACTGTTATCTTTTTAATTCAGGACTTGTGTTGCGCAGACACTTCAATTAGGGTGACCTCCACTCCTCAGACGCTCTATTATGCTCGTTTTTCTTTATTTTTTTCTTAGAAACATTATATATATATCACTTGAAGTTATTATTAAATAGCAAATAGGTACTCATAATTAAAATATTTTAACAAGAAAATTTAATAATAAATATGAAATTAATATATATTGTATAAATGAAGAATTTAGAAGAATTTAATTAACGTGTCGACGACTTATCGTGTTAGTATATTTTTGAAAAATCATGCGTCGGCTTGTCCGTGCCGATGCATCACATTGACAATGCTAGGTCCTATTTATAATATGCCATTTGGAATGTTAAATGGATACATTCTTGTTTAGTATAAATGGACATTCTGAGATTAGTGAATTTCTTTTTGTATTTGTAACTATATTTTATCTGTCTCAAGTATTATTTCTTCTTCTGAGGAATCATGTATAATCTTTGTTCTCCTATATTTTGTATTTAATTGTCTCTAAATAAAGTAGCATTTGCCAACAGGGATCAGGCTTTTATGGGGGTTCGTTCTATTTCAACTCAAATTGGTAAGAATCATTATTGAATTTCTAGGTGCTACACTGTTAGTTATCTATCTTAGTTATTGAATCTTTCTTAATATTAGCCATATTGTTCTTTTTCTCATTGTTAATTTTTTTGGTGACGAACCCAGTCCGTAACCGTATGAAGAGTGTTAAGAATATTCAGAAAATTACGAAGGCAATGAAGATGGTTGCCGCATCAAAGCTACGAGCAATCCAGACTAAAGCTGAAAATTCACGTGGCCTATGGCAGCCATTCACTGCTCTTCTTGGTGACACTCCAAGTAAGTTTCATTAAAATATTTTTAGTTACATCTTAATCCTAGAGTTTCTGTCAATTTATGTTCTTACTTTCACATGCTTTTATCATGTTTCTGGTTTTTTTTTTTGTCTCCCTCCACTCACTTTGAACGCAAGATCCTTCTAAACGAGCTGGTTCTGCTCACTGTAAGCATATTCTAATGTATTGTGCATTGTAGTGAATTGTTTCTGATTCTGCCCTGTTGCTGCACGGTGACATAGAGGTATGGAAGAAAAATGTTGTAGTCCTCTTTGTGAGAATAGAGGATGTATTCAAGATTGTACAGACTATGGAGATATCAAGCTGACAAACTCACAATATGTACTGTGGAATTATGAGAGACAGTGACTGACTACCTTTTAGTTCAGTGTTTCAGATATCTACTATGGAAACAGTTTACATACTTCTGATGTTGATGAAAAAATAGAGAATATAGGCAAGATTATATATGGACCAATACTCAATTGGGGATAGGAGACACAGCAATTTAGTAGGAAAGGTTGCACACATCCTAATACAGTGTTACATATTTGTCTCAAGACTCTCAACCTTAATGAGGGTTTTAAGGATATTCCCGCTTCCATAAAGGAGACAGTATAACTAATCAAAGTATAGGTTCAACACTGTGCTGTTACTTTCTATTTGATCCTCCATCACCACCCAGCTCGGCTTCTGGTGCAAATTGTGCTTATTTGTATTGTTGTAAAAGCATGTCATGTTTCCACTTCAGAATCAGAGTTAACTATTTAATATGAATTGATATTGCCAACTATAATCCATCAATACTGCAGATATATTGAGTTTCTATGATTTCTCTCAGGTTTATCTTTCACATATCTGGCTTCTCAATAGAATGCTGGCTATTCTTTTCTCGGCTATGCCTTTTTCATTAATGCTATACTCTTTGTTCAATGAACTTACAACATGCTTCCAGTTACAATATGATTTTTCATCTTCAGTGGTAACATTTACTTTTCTGGTACTTTCCTCGTGCTTTGATGTTTTAGGTATTGATGTCAAGAAGAATGTTATCGTTACAATTTCTTCCGATAAAGGTCTTTGTGGTGGGATTAATTCTACATCTGTCAAGATAAGCAGGGCTCTTCATAAATTAAATTCTGGTAATTATAAGTTTGTTGATGCAGTGAACTATATATATATTTTTTTTTCTGTTGGCAAAGTTTCGGTCATTGATTTTTTGTTCTGGTACTTCATAGGTCCTGAAAAGGAAAATAAATATGTCATTTTGGGAGAGAAGGCCAAAGCCCAACTTGTGCGTGATTCCAAGAAAGACATCGAGTTATGCATAACTGAGTTGCAGAAGAATCCCCTGAACTATACTCAGGTTTGTCTTTTAAAACGTATTTTCCTGCAAAGTATCAAAGAAAGCACACCTTTCCTACAAAGAATCCCTGAGTTTTTGTCCTTGTACTTTGTTGTCAGGACTTAAACATTGGTGTAAAATGAGCTGAGGGTGGTTCAAGCTTTGTTTGTCTAGATTAGGACCTGCCATGTTGACATTTTGCACTTAATCTGAAAATTTAGTTGACATCTGCTTGCACTTCACTAGATTGGGACAGGCTTACTGGTGGCAATATATTACTGGAAATTTGCTTTGTTCTCTATTTTTCCTCTCCTGTCTGCAATTTTTGGCTACATGTGAGCTGCCTTTGCAGCTGCCTCAACTTTTGCCGTAAATTATTTAATGGACTAAAGACGTTGAAAAAATTTGAAATGTAATTGTAAACATAATTGTATCTTTATTTGTTACTGGGATTTTAAGAAATAAGAAATTAAAAACCCCGTGAATCCTGTTGCAGGAACGTATATTTCTGTTTCAACTCTTTGAGTTCTGTTTTTGGCATTGCAGTCCTGTTGCATATTTCTGTTTTAACTCTTTCAGTTCTGTTTTTGGCATTGCAGGTTTCTGTGCTTGCAGATGACATCTTAAAGAATGTTGAGTATGACGCATTGAGGATTGTATTCAACAAGTTCCAATCAGTTGTGTCATTTGTGCCAACAGCAGCAACTGTATTATCTCCTGAGGTCATCAATGGCACCAACAGAATTCAGCAATGCTAATCTTTTAACGAGTTCTTTCTATTAGGATGTTAATTCTATTTCTTGCTAATATAGGTTGTGGAGAGAGAAGCTGAAGCTGGGGGAAAACTTGGAGAGTTGGATAATTATGAAATTGAGGGTGGCGAAACGAAGTCAGAAGTACTTCAGAATCTAACAGAATTCCAGTTTTCCTGTGTATGGTCTACCTTCATTATCATAATTTGATTGGAAGGGCCAGGAATCTCCGACCTGCAGTGTATTTTTCTGTCTAAAGTGAAATGCTTTTAATCTTTTCTTCAGGTTGTGTTCAATGCGGTCCTAGAAAATGCTTGCAGCGAACAAGGAGCTAGGATGTCTGCAATGGACAGCTCAAGCAGAAATGCTGGAGACATGCTTGATCGCCTCACACTCACTTATAACAGGTTCCCCCTTAACCCTCACAATCACGGTGCAAGTTTGACGATGGGACATTATAATAAACAAGATTTTAGCATCCTTCTTCTATTGTATTGTCTAGTCCTGTCCAATATTTTCCCGAGAACCCCTACCAAATGCTCTACCAATGCATATCTTCACCTGCTTATCTATATATTCAAACACGCACCAAGATAAAGAAATAATATTAACATTTTTGTATCATAACTAATTTAGAATAGACTTCCCTCTCTCCTTGCTAACATTCCTCTGATTCATCTTTTCACTTTTTATCAGAACCCGTCAAGCATCTATTACTACAGAATTGATAGAGATTATTTCTGGAGCATCAGCACTTACGGGCTAATTCCACAAAGCTTCTGCTGCCCCTCTCGGATGGCGACGAAATAAATTATTTTGGACATTGTATTGCACTTTCTGGTTACGCCTAGTAGATTTTCTTGGTTTCTTCATTAATAATCACTCCAAATAATCTTTTTGGGGAAATATTGTGTTTATGATTTTAACTTTTTGAAAAAATCATGTTTACTCATTCCTTTTCTCGGCATTATGTTGGCGATGACACTGTTGAATAATTTCTCTGAACTATTTCAATGTTTTATGGACTTATATTTTGATACCTACTATATTAATTGATTTATTTGTGTTTTATGGACTCTCTTTTTTGTCTACGCCTCTTTATAGTCTCGATTAGGACCTCCCGAATATCTGCTCTTTGGGACCTCTCGAGGGAGTCCAGATTTACCGACCTGCCTTGACTGTTCGCTTGGTTGTCTCATCACCTCAAAATTTTAGTGTAATGCTATTTAGCGCCGTCGGGAATCTCAGTTTAGGTGGCGTTAATGCGATATTAAATGATAGGTGGAATTAAATAAGTCATTTGATTTCGCTTTTTATTTAGTCTATTATTTAACGTCAATTAAATTTGGATGGTAACCCCAGTGGAACTATATATAATTATTCAAAATTTTATTGCACAAAATTCATTATTTGAAAAAATAAAAATTATTTGTATTTCGCTAAAATTTTGAAATGAGAATGGGCGCTAAAGCCAGCCTTGTTAATAAGTCTTTGTTTTGTATTAATTTAAATCAAATTTTAATTCAAGTCAAAATCAAACAATCAATGTTAATTACACATTTCAAGAGTTTTACGACTTTTTAATCATACATCTCAAAATTTTTTATTAAAATTTACTAAAAATCTCCACCAGAAAGGGTCTAAGACTAACAATTGATATTCAAAAAAAAAAAAAATTGAACCGAAAGTTTTTATACGCCATTTCCTTGTCATCTTTTATTTTTTTAGGGAAAAACATCAATATATTCCAAGAAGGCGAAAAGAGAGATAAAGTGTTACAATTGCCCAAGAAACATCCACAAACCACAAAAAATGACCCAGACACATACAAACTATACACATCCCAATACAACCAACGGCACAAGAAGTCGGAAAACATCTGCGACTTTACCAAAGCGAGAAAAAACCCAACGTAAAGTCAACTACGCACTCAGCACTTGAGCACCCCCGCACGCAAGGAAACGGGCATTGTCTAGACTTCAACACTGCCAAACAAACCACACAACAAAACAACAACAACCTAAAAACCACAACAACAAAACCAAAGCAAAACATCCAATACACCACCAAACAACACACAACAACAAACAAACACCACCACCACCATCCACGCCCTAACTGGAGAACCAGTCCAAAAAGGCCCGTCGGCTAAGCTCCATCAGCAGCAGCCCTCCCATCAGCCTCCACCGGAAAAGAACACGCACTACCGAGGCCAACCAAGAACCGGCCACACCTCGCTCGCCGCACTTCCCAACCGAAGCCCACACAAGCGCCACCTCCAAAACTCAGCCAACCACACCACCGACCCCGCCCACACGCCGCCAGAAAACACCATCTACAGCAGCAAAAAGGCGAACCCTGGACAACAACAAGAGAAACCGAAAAAGAAACGGGGAAAAGGGGAAGAAGGAAAGAGGAAGGGGGAGCCTAAGCTCCCACCTCCCCAACAAGCGCACCGAAGAACCAAGAAGAAACCTTCACCGGAGGAAGGGGAAAGAAGCTCCACGGAGGGAGGGGAGAGAAACTTCCGCACGCAGGGGAAGACTTTTAGATACTTTTCATTTCCTTGTCATCTTTGATCAAGAAAAATGTCAGTTTATTGAAAAAAAGGGTTTTCTTTTCATCATATTAATTTTGAGTAATATAATATGAATATAGCAACAAATGTGTTAAAAAGAATTGCACGATTGGTTCTAAATTTGTTGCCTTGGTAAAATAAGTCATTTAACTCTTAAAAAGAAGCTGGTTGGTCTCTAAACTTTTAACATAATTGCATAATCTATTCTCGATTGTTTTATGATACTTGCGTATTTAATTTTATAAAGTTAAATTTCATTTTTTAATTTCACTAATGTCAAAAAGTTACCGAGAGGCAAGTGCCCGCAGGGGAGATTTGAATAGTTGGTCGTAATGTAAAATAGGTTAGAGACCAACTTGTGAATAACACGATAGGTTCGAGATCAATAGTGCAATTTTCTCAATTACTAATTATTTATTTATATTTCAAATAATAAATATACAGAAAAACTTACAAAATATTCGATCGGTTTAGGATGTATTTATAATTTAAATTAACACAAGTATATATCCAAATTATGTATGGGTAATTATATTTACAATATTATTTTTATTTCTTGCACTACATTTTAATTGCAGTTACTTTTTAGAGTAATGCTAGGGGTACATCACCATTCACACAAAAGTTTACATAATAACACGTGGCAGCTGATCCAAAAAGGTTCACATAATAACACGTGGCAGCTGATCCAACCTTTAATTCAAATTTCATACTTACATATCAATAAGTGGATGACTGTCACATTTACATTATTTGAACCATTATGTCATTGGTAATGTACATCTAGCATTTTTCTAATTTTTAATCTTTGCTCATAATGACATTACGTCTTTTATAATTTTTCATGTCATTTTTTTACACAAAATTTTAATTAATTAACACATTTTGTATTTGATAACAGTTTTATATCCAAGAGTTCGTTAAAAATACGTAAAATAATTTATTTTTTCATCATATTTTTTAAAAATATATAAATAAAAGGCGAGAAAAAAATATTTTTGCCCTCATTTCTAAGTATGAAAATAAAATAGGGGTATTAATTAATGGAAAGTTGAAGATAATAATTCAACGAAAAAAGTTAAAAAAATAATTGCTATAATGAAAAAAGAATGAGGAGCTTAATTACAATTAAATTATGGAGTAATATGGAGTATCAAATAAAATTTGTTATTTCAATATAACCCACTGTGTATTTTATTATCAATGACAATAATTAGAATAGAGTAGGAAAAATGTAAATTAACATAATATGGTATGCACATGAGATATTATCATATTGTGGTTGGTGAGCAATTCACTCTGCATAAATGCAATTCGCAAATTTCAGGCTTCTAATCCAAATCCGATTTCTGCCTACAGCGAAAATTTCATGAAAATCTGAAGCTCAAGTTATGGTTTTTCTTGGCGAAATTTTTGTTTCCAATTAGGTAATTTTTGTTCATAAACTTTCTATAATTTAAGTATTGATGTCTGATACATTTCTTCTGAATAAAATGTGCAGTTTTTCTCATGTAGAAGAGAACCAGATCGGACGGTAATGCAGTAGGCGCGAGGATATTTTCACAGCGTAGAACAGAGAGTGGGGCAGTTAGAGATCTATAGAGAAAGGAAACATACATACAGATGAAATAAAAACTTCGTGAGATTTTTTGTTTTTTTTGTCATTTCTGTTTCATTTCTACAAGATATTGATAGTTCTTCAATACGTTCGTTTGGCAAGAATTGAGTTATTGAGAATCACTAATATTTGAAAATTTTCCCCCATGATTATCCAAATTTATCCTTTTGTCATCGATTGGAAATTAAGAACATGAATATAATCCTTTTGCGGAATAATAAATCATGAATCGTATACGAAATTCACAGGTATGATGAAAAAGTTGTAGAATTGGATTCAAAGAGAGAGTAAGTTTTCACGAAAACCTGAATAGAAAATGTAGCCTTTGTGGAAGAACCCGTAAAATCATCAGCGTTCTTTGAATATTCTCGATCAGTTTTTTCAATAATTTTCCTGAATGTCAAATTCTCATCTACGTTCACAACGTTTTTGGCCTCAACCTCATCGATTTCAATTAATCACTCAAATTGGGATAAGGTTCATATGAGAAAAGTAGAGGAGAATAGTCATAGGATAATATAATGTGCAAAAATATGATATAATGAACATAAATTGAGGTAGGTGTTTCTGATAGATAAGATTCACAGTTTTATCATTTTACTTGTGGTCATGTTAAGCAAAATCTATGAATGAAGCCAGATGAGTTCCGCTAATTTTCTGTGTAGGATTTTGAATGAATTCCAGCTCATTTGGATTGCGTTAAAATGGACATCCATGTTGCACTCTTAAATTGCTTCAATCATCTTGCTGTGTTTTGATCCCTGATTTCTGACTTGCTCGTATACATAATACTCATATTATTTCTCGACTTCCTGCCATAACTGGATATTCATTCAAATTCGCATAGTTCTGTGTCATATAATTAGAAATTCTATCCACTTGCATGTGTGTGGTATATAATAATCTAAGATCGTAGCTACAGTCACTTTTTTTCACTGTAAATCTAACTTTTTTGCTGATGGGTCACTGTATTAGTCTTATTTATTATACTTTTTGAGGAAATATTTGATCACTCTCCAGTGTTAGCATGACTGTCATCGTGATATGATAAACAGATAAAACCATTCTTTCAGAGTTGAGAACTTCAGGCTCTTTGATTACTTTCTGGGCCTACAACAAGTCTTCAAGTTTTCTCTATTAGTAAATTTCGATGGAGCCATTGATGAGTGCTCGGGTAAAGATCAACCCAATGCTTTCTTGTCATTGCAAGCAGCAAAACTCTATTTTTGTTCCTGCATTCACTCCAAGAGTTACGAGAAGAGTTTTTGTTGGCCCAGCTGGAATTATGAATAATCCCAAATCGTTCAATTCAATAGCTGGTTCAGTACAGCCACTAGAGGCATCAGCAGTGGACAATTTTGACAACACATTAGCATCCAAAGGTTAAAAACGCAATGCCATCTATATTTTCAGTAACCCTTTTGTAGGAGGTGCTTTTACAGCTATGACAGATAAGGGCATTATACTATGCAGACTAAGTACATTAGATTTGCTTTTGGATTTAAATGTGTCATAGACTTAGATCAGTTTGATTAATGTTTGATAACAACACTAGCGTTCAGATCTGGAA